GCTATCTTTTATGAAAATGCACATATGGGTATATGTGTATACACAGGAAAAACTCTGGAAATTCACCCCAAATGTTAAAATCCATTTTTTCTGGCTTCTGGGATTTCATGAGATTTTTACTTCTTTATGTACTGTTCCTTTTTTCTTTTTTTTTTTTTTAAGATTTTATTTATTTATTTGTCAGAGAGAGAGCACAAGCAGGCAGAGTAGCAGGCAGAGGCAGAGAGAGAAGCAGGCTCCCTGCTAGACAAGGAGCCCGATGTGGGACTCCATCCCAGGACCCTGGGATCATGACTTGAGCTGAAGGCAGAGGCTTAACTGACTGAGCCACCCAGGCATCCCTTTTTTCTAATTGTCTTATGATGAATGTGCATTTTAGTCAGAAGACAAAGGGTTTCCTCTTTCCTTTCTTCCAATTAATATTGGTTAAATGTTACAAAGAATCGAACTTAAAGTTAAGGGAAGGACCAGAGCAAAGTCCAGAATGATTACAAATTGAGAGGTTCTCCAGATTGAACAGAATATGGGGGAGTCCATTTGATACTGGAGTGTAGTTCTGTGTTTGTGTGTGAATTTTTTGTTATATAGTGAAAATACAATAATTTGTGGTTGTTCTGAAAACTGATTTTTCCTCCCTTTTGCTTCTAGAGACCCTCCTCTGGGAAATCAAGGTAGGAGCTTAGAGCAATCATGCACTAGATAGGCAGGGCCAATACAAACTAAAGAGGGAACATAAAGATCTCTGCCCTAACAAGCACTAGTTTTCTCTACTCTGTTAAATTGAAAACCTCTTCTCTCTCTCTTTTTAAGATTTTAAGTAATCTCTAAACTCAACATGGGGCTCAAACTCATAACCTTGAGATCAAGAGTCCCCCATTCTAACTACTGAGCCAGTCAGGTGTTCTGAAGTCTCTTCTATTATTATGCTCTTTCCTTTAACAATTACCTACAGCAGTTTTTCTATGCTGGTTAAATCCCCTGAGAGAAAAAGAACAGTCACCCTAGATCTAGGAGCTAACAATCTAATTGAGTAAACAAACTAGAAAAGTTAACCAAGAGAGCACTATGCACTTCGGAATTAAATGACTTAATGCAGAGAAGTCCTATAGCAGGTCAAGGAATGGCTGGTAACTGAACTGTTATTAACTTCTCAGTGATTGTTTAGCATAGTAGCCACTAGTCACATGTGGTTAATGAGTACTTGAAATGTGGTCTGTACAATTGAGGATTTTAATTTTTAATTTTATTTAATTTAAAAGGCTACATAGAGTTGGTGACTTACCATATTGAAGAATGCAGGCCAAGATCTAGAAGGTATCAAAAAAGTAGGACTTGTCTTGTTACTTGAAGAAAGGGGAGGATTTGAATGGCTTTGGACAAAGAAAGGCATTCTAGGAGAGGAAAAAGCACATATGAACTCTGCTCACTTCACCCTGAAAATGTGAGTGTCTGGAGTTTGGATGGGGGATTATGATGGGTTGCTACACTGGGGAGACCATGTAGCTGAGAGTTATGATTTGAAGCTGTTTGTAATGGGGAGTAATTCGTTTTTTCTTAACTGAGGTATAATTGGTATATAACATTACGTTAGTGTCAGACGTACATGATTTGATATTTGCATGATTATTTCTGATCAGTGGATAATAATAGCTCTTACCATGTGTCAGGCATTATGTTGAGTGCTTTAGATGGATTATCTCATTTAATTATAACAATATTTTGAAGGGAATGAAGATTTATTTGGTGCCATGGTAGGAGTAAGAGAAGCAATTATAATCCTGGAAATATCTCAAGGTACTGATGATGAGGATGTAGAAGTTAAAAAGCCTCATTAGGACATGAGGAAGTCAGACTCAATAGAACTTGATGTCTGACTTCATGTGGAGGATGAATGAAAAAGGGACAATACAATCTGCATCCCTAGGGATACTGCTGAGGACAAAATCCTGGGGAACACCAATGATTCTGGGGTGAATGAAGGCAGTTGAATTAGCAAAGGGATCTTAGGAAGGATGTAGATGGGTGGCAATGGAAACAAGTTAGTAGAATTGAGGAATTTGATAAAGGCTTTTTGAGAGTCCTTTAGGTAAGTTAAAGATGAGTATGGAGGAGCATCCAGCTTTAGTTGATGGAGCATGTGATTTTTGATCTTAGGGTTGTGAGTTTGAGCCCCAAGTTGGGTGTAGAGATTACTCAAAAATAAAATCTCAAAAAAGATAAGGATGGAGAAGTGGCAGCTGTAGCTGGGAGTTAAGGTAGTGCTGACAAAAATAAAGGAGTCAAAGGGAGGAAAGTCAATTTTGAAAGGAAATGGGAACTTTTTTTTTGACATGGTCACTAGAGGTAATGATAATGTCTTACTAGTAGGACAGAATGGGAAACTAGAGCTTATGAGGCAGATCAAGGCTGGAGACGGGTGATTGTAAAGTGCTGTCCCAGGACAGCAGGTAAAGGGAAAAGAGAGGTTGAGGATAAAACCTGGAGCAAATGCCCACTCACATAGAGGGCTTAATAAGAAGAGCCAGCAAGGGAGAAGGGGTGGGCTGAACTATACTAGGGCAATGTCAAGGAAGAATTGTACAGATGAAAATGAGTCAGAATTTTCTCCTGTGCAGTGAAGTCAAGGTAAAAAAACAAAACAAAACAAAAAAAAAAACAAAAAAAAAAAAACAAGACTGAGAAAAGAATGAGTTTATCAAGGAGATCAGGTAGGAAAAAATATAAAAAATTTGGGCAGTCTGGCAGTAAAGGGACTGAGAGAAAAGGGGAAACAGCTTGAGAAGGGATAAATAAAGATCTCCCACCCAGGTGGTCTGGAGGGAGGTGACATGAAGCCAGCAAGCCAAGGGTTGGCAACTTAGAAGGGGGAAGAGACTCTTGTTCCTTTAGGTACTTGACAACAGTTCATGGAAATGGATGGTAGGGACAGAAATACTTTAAGAGTGGTGGAGGATGCTGAAACTGGATTTTTTTAATCTTCTCAGTGAAAAAGCAATTAGGGCCATCTGCCGAGGAAGAGGAGAAAGGAGATTTATCACATCAACGGCTAGGGCAGCCCTTGACAATCACGTGAATGAAAGGATTGGGGACTAGACCAACGCGATTCCACTTTAGGCAGCCATCTCTGATTTACTTCTGGGAACAGACAATACTAGCAACAGCCACCACCCTTTATCATGTGACTATTCCCTGCTTACTATGAATGTTAACATATATTATCTCACTTAATTTCCAAAGAATCCAATGAAGTATTATTATTCGCAATTATTTCCAAATTATAAACTTGGAATATATTTCCAAATTATAAAAAAGGAAATTGAGACTCAAAAAGATTTAGCCTTAAAAAAAAAAAAAAAAAAGGCTACTATGTCGCCAAGCACCACTCTCAGGGACGGAATGAGATAGGCAAAGATTTATGGAGATTTACAGAAAAGTAAACGAATAAATGAACCAGATCACTTCAGTTTTTAGTAAATGGTGTGAAAATAAGAAAACTGGTGATATGGTTATTATAGTAAATATGACACGACACTGGAGGAGTGCGGGAAGATAGAGGTTCTGTTAGTGTGGTCAGGGGAGGGCCCTCTGAGGGGACTAGTGAGCTCAGAACTTCAGGATGAGAAAGGTGGATGGGTTTTCCAGGCCCACGTAAGGCTAAGTGCAGAGGCCCTGAGGCAATTATTGATGTGGCCTTTGCAGGAAAGCTAACAGCGCAATTGAAGCTTAGTGAGCAAGGGGATATGGGCCAAGGTTGGAGGCGCCACGGCAGTCCGGAAAGGCAGTCCGGGAAGAGTTTACGCAAAGGAGGTAACTTAATTCGGATCAATGGAATAAGGCTCCCAAGAGCAGGAGGCATGCTGTGCCGCTCTCCCACGCGGGTTTCCATTGCGTGAAGCTGCCCGCACATGGCGCAGAGAGGAGCTACCGGTCGAGAGAGGTTCCAAGCCCCGGAGCCAAGGGGCTTGAGGCCCACGGCCGATGGGGAGTGTGACCTCCCCGCGGCGCCAGCGTCCCGGGGACACGGACCTTCGCACCGGGCCCGTCCCCGCCCGGACCCCGCGCCGCTGGGAGCAGCCCTCTTCCCGCACCCTCCAGGATCTCCCCCGCCTGGAATTCTCGTCAGCGACCCCCTCCCGCTGCACTATCCGCCCCGCCGGGCTTGGTTTTTCGTCTGGGGAGGCGAGTCCGTCTTTCAAAACTTCGGAATGACACTAGTCTCAGGAGTAATGGGGCGATTACATCAGTTATGACCAGGGCGAACTCCTATAGAGAACACACCTTTTAATCTCTGCCTTGTTTTCCCTCACGGCTTTCCAGAAATAACTTGCTTCCCAGTATGCACTCTAAATCACCCCCTCCAACAGCGAGACGGTTGGTTTGGCCCCTAGACTCCGATTGGCTGAAGGTTTACGCCTCGGTCAGGGATTGGAGAACGTTGGTTCCTTACGTATTCCCCGCGCCCATTGGTTCTTTTCCCCCGTTTCTGGGCGGAGTGGTTAGGGACGGTTTCCACCCTCTTGTTTACGGAGAGCGTAGTTGTAGCGCTCTCCGAGCGCCGGGGCTGTCTCTAAAGTTCCCTATTTAGCTCCTCGGACCAATTGGGTTCTTGCTCCACCCTCGCCCTCTCCCTTGCACGCTTCCCGCGTGGTACTGCCCACACCTTTAGAGCGGAGGCGCGCTCGCACGGCGGTCGCGTTCCTCCGCCCGCTCTCGCCAGGCTGCTCCCCCTCGAGGGCGCGCTTGGTACGGCCCGCGCCGCCTCTTTCCCCTGCTGGGGTGGCTGCCCCCCCCCCTCGGGTCGGCGGCGCTTGGTGCCGCCCGGGAGAACCAGGTCATCGGTCGGTTCCCGTGAAAACAAAAACAATCGGCGGCGCCGCCGCGGGCAGCCGAACGTGGCGAGTGAGGACCAGGGGCGCGGGACCGGGTGGGGAGAGCGAGCGGGAGCGGCGGCCAGTGTCCGGGGGACAGGGGGGCATGGGGCAGGCGGGCACGGGCTGCGCGGGGCTCCCCCGGCGCCGCGGCTAGCGCGCCCGCTGTCTCGACCGCCTCAGCCACCCGCGCCGCCCGCCTGGGGGACGAGGAGCAGGACGCGGCCTCGGCCGGGCCCGGGCCGAACGGCTGCGGACACCCGGGCACCAGGCAGCCGAGCGCCGCCGCCGCCGCCGCCTCCGGGATGGATCAGTGCGTGACGGTGGAGCGCGAGCTGGAGAAGGTGCTGCACAAGTTCTCGGGCTACGGGCAGCTGTGCGAGCGCGGCCTGGAGGAGCTCATCGACTATACGGGCGGCCTCAAGCACGAGATCCTGCAGAGCCACGGTAGGGCGGCCCGGGTGGGCGCGCGGGGCAGGGCCCGGCCCCTCGGGCCACGGCGAGCAGCAGGAGTGTCCCCGCGTCTCCGCCGAGGTGCGGAAACCCCCTCCTCCGCCCCAGCCCCCTGTGACTTTTCCCCCTCCCGATTAGCCCCGAACCTGTACCTACTTCGTTGTCGATTAAGAGTGAGCGCGATCCACCCGGAAACCGAGCCCGGAACCACGGGTTCCAGCCGGGTTAAACGTGCGTGGGGGCCGGTCGGTGGCACCTGCAAACTGCCGCCGCCCCGGGGTGGGCGCCCCTCGTCCCCGCCCGGCCCGGTGCTTTCTGGTCCCTGCGGGCTGAAGGTGCGCTGATTGCGTTGGACCGGAGGATCTGGGCGATAAGAGGGTCAGTGCAGGAAGCCCCTTTCTTTCTCCTGCCCCAGATCCTTGGCCCGGGGACTGACTTTCCAAGTCTTTCTTTCTTTTTTCTTCTTTCCGTTCTTTTTTTAAATTAGAAAGTCGAGTGTTATTCTTAGCTGTGGGTTAACAGAACAGCCGCTGCTGCAACTTCACAATTTGACTTCTGTGTGGAAGCAGCTCTTCCTCAACTCCGCAGCCGCACAGACATGATTCCTAGGAAACCAGCTGAATCGAAATGTTCAGCTCTTCTGGTGTAGCCTGAGGAAGAACAGGCAACTTTCCTGAAGCAAATTGTGGCACACGTAATTAGTTACTTGCCTTACCTGGCCAAGTTTTTACTTGTTTTCCTTTCAGGAGACAGATTTTTTTTTATACGAGGTGCATTACCTAGATTATTTCATGATTGCCCGAGGACCTGGGGGCAGATGCTCTGCTGAGGTTATCTTGTGGAAGCTGGTTGGGAAGGGGTTTTGGTTTTGTTTTTTTAGTAACATTTGAAGGTCTGGTATCCTCAGATTAACGTATTCATAGTGGTGGTTCCTCCTGATCAAGAAAGAAAAGACTTTATTTAATGGATTTGTTCAAGTTGGGGAAGACTTATCAAGCTCCTAGGCTGAACAGCAGTTTATGGAAAGGAAAGTTTGGTAGCTGGGGTGAAATGCGGTTACTTGGGCAGGTGAGGTGAAGGCAGGGCCTCATTGGAGCTTCTCCCCTCTTCTCTTTCTCCTCCTACATCTTTCTTTCCAGATGCCTTTCAGTGGGGAATAAGTGCTAGCTGGGAATAAGGGAGTCTTTTTTTTTTTTTTTAGTTTTTTTTTTTTTTTTCTTAATTTATTGACAGATCACAAGTAGGCAGAGAGGCAGGCAGAGAGAGAGAGAGAGAGAGAGAGAGAGGAAGGAGGAAGCAGGCTCCCTGCTGAGCAGAGAGCCGGATGCGGGACTCCATCCCAGGACCCTGGAATCATGACCCCAGCCGAAGGCAGAGGCTTTAACCCACTGAGCCACCCAGGCGTCCCGGAATAAGGGAGTCTTAAAACATACTATTCTGAACATGGCAGTCACTTTTGAGCTCTGGGGAAGAAGCAAGCCTGCAACCGTAGTGGGAATAGGAGTTAGAATATTAATATGGAAAAATAAGCAGACCTGGATGGCTGCCTGTGAAGGGGAAGCGGAGGTAGAGTTGGATGGGAATCCTGGGAACGCTCTGGTGAATTTGGTTTGGGGGCATGCAAGATAAAGCTGAAGGGCTATGTGTACTGGTGGCTAAAGATGCAGTTTGAATTTGGGGGAAAAGTAAGGTCTCAGATGGTTTCCTAGTATAATTTCTACTCAGGAGAGTGAAGGAGATCCCATAGGCTGTAGGGAGGGAACAATGTAGGGTCTAACCACACCTTGAACCTCCTCTTGGAGAGTGGAGGGCCATGGAGGAACCAGCCGAAACAGAAAAGGCAGGAGCTTAGGAAAAGAGAAGTTGGTTAGCTGGTTGGGAGTCAGTGACCCTCTGCTTACAGCTTCATGGAGTTAAAATAAACTCAGTTAGTGGGAATTAAGAAAAATATGCAAACTGAAGTGTAAGGAGGCACAAGGCTGTTTAAGTACAGGGGTAGGAGGTGTGTGTATGTGTGTGGGGAATGTGTGTGTGTGGGTGGGTGGGTGTGTGTCTCTGTCCCTCTGTCTCTTCCTGCCTGTCCACCCACCTTTCCGTTCCAGGAAATCTATATCTTGTTCAAGGCTGAAAGGAAAAGAATGAGTAAAGGGTCTAGACTTGAAGAGGTGGAAGGAGCATATCCTTTTTAGGGACCAGGTCAGAGATTGAGGGGTTGGATAGGCAGAATATGAGAGAAGATGGAAAGTAAAATACCTTCTTATAAGAGAGTAGGGGGTATTAGTTGATGGAGGAAAGTGTGATTGCAAGCCTCATTTTAGGGAATTTGGGGCTCATCTCCGATGGATAAAATAATTGCCAGAAATTGCTGAAGCATGAGTTTGCTTTAGACAAATTGTTTTTGCTCTGTATTAGGGAACTTTGCAAGGAATGTATGGTGTGAGGGTATTAGCCACAGATAATGTCATGCTATTCAAATGATCTGACTTGGTGAATTGCATATGTTTCTTTTTCAGCCTCCTATTTTTTACCTTCTGGTCTACCAGATTGCAGTTCGATATTGGTATTTCTTTGATTTTCTTTAATTCTTAAATAATAGGATTAAGTGACTAAAGGCAGTTATGAAACGTGAAAGAAAAATAAATACCAGAAGTGCCAGGTCTAGTTTCCCAAGTAAATTCTTTTCTCTTACGGGGTTCTTATGTGTGGAGACAAACATCATGGTTTGTTATCTAGGTTATGGTAATTTTCAAAGCAGATAATTTCTAATGTTCTTTGCCAGCAATGTGGTGGGTATTACATTTGTATTTTAAATATACCCTTCCTAAAGTTGTGTCTCCTGAAATCTGAGTTTGGAGCTCCATTTTCAAGTTTGTGCTTGTTTGGGCAGTTGATCTTGTGGGCTCCTATGACTTGAGAGAGGGGCTCCAATTGGGACCATCTGTCAGGGCTTTGGATCTCATTCTCTGGGGTTATTTGTGGTAATAGTCTTGTAAGAATGTGATGTGAATAAAGTAGAATCTTGGGCATCATACTGACGGTGAGTAACTGCCTGATTCAGAAGTATCTTTTTAGCTAGGGTCAGGAGATCAGTTTTGGGGGATGATTTACATTTTCTTATGTTTAAATATCTCTTTTCTATTTTTTTTTTTAGATTTTACTTATTTAGCAGAGGGGCGGGGAGTACACAAGCAGGGGTAGTGGGAGAGGGAGAAGCAGGCTTCCCGCTGAGCCCGATGCGGGGCTCAATCCTAGGACCCTGGGATCATGACCTGAGCTGAAGGCAGTTGCTTAACGACTGAGCAACCCAGGCGCCCGAAATATCTTTTTTCTAAAGCGAGTGAAGGACTATACTAAATGAGGACAGTTAGAATAGTTTGTGGTGGAAACATCATACGTAAATGAAGATTAATTGGTAAACCTGTTGACAACCCATTTCCACTCTAACTACTTTTATTCCAGATTGTGAAAGTGCTCAAAGGGGGCTCGCCTGGCAACTGGCCTGGAAGTAGTCCTGTAGTGAGCCCTAACATTTCTTTCATCTGCTCTGAATTGCCTCTATGTAGCCTGAAATTCTTTCATATAAACTTTCCCTAATTATTTCATTAAAAATGCATTTTTCTTAATTCAAATACCTTTGGGAGAATGCAGGCTTTGACTAAGTCATAGCCAGGCATGGAGTTTTGGTGATAAAGGGGCAGCATAGCAGAGCAAAGGGGCAGTAAAGAATCACAGAAAATACTAAACAGAAGTTCTGTGGGAGCCTGATTCATTCCTTTTCTGGAGACTGACTTAAAGGCTTTCTTCAGATCCGAGGTCTTTAAGGCCTAAGGTTTGCCTGGGAAACCTTAGGGTGGTAGATTGGATGATGGGAGAGTGATCTGGAGCCTGATCTGAGGTAAAAGGGATTGGAGATGACTGTCCACAGTTAATGAAAGGTCTGTGCTCAGGTGTTTGGGCTGGGAAAGGGATACCATTTTTAAGCTTAATTTGCCAGAAATTCAAGGATTGTACCAAGCTCTGAGTTTTACCTTTAGTTACTCTGATTAAATTTCAGGTTCACTTAATTTTCTCAACTCTTAGGAAGGAGGAGAGCACTGTTGTCACTTAGTTGTACCAGCTTTTCAGTGAGTTTCCATGTGCACATGAAGTTTGGTCTGATTTAAGATTCTATATGCTTGATGCTGTTTGGTGATCATTGCTGGTGTGCCCTTGATCAATTTGGGTAAGGCGCTAGTGTTTCTCAGATTTCACTCATGCATGTGTGCTCTTATTTTTTCAGATGGATTCATGATTTCACTTAAGTAGATTTATCCTTATGATAGGCACTGATATCTGTGAAATCGTAAGTTTGGTGTATTAGGTATAATAAACTTTTATAATTAAAAGCAAATTCATAACTATTAAAATATTATTTCACATACAGCTAAAATCACTATTCACATCAGTGTTGTGGGAACCACACCTTGGGTAACCCTCACTTAACAGGCAGATAGTATGGATAAATGTTCCTGATTTGACTTGTGATTGTTTATATGCTTTTTAGCATTTTTTTTTCCTATTGGCAAATATATTTTGTTTCCCATTAGCACCTCTGTGGTGGGAGGGAGAACAGAAAAGAAGTATATATCACGTATTGCTGATATTCTAATTTCACATTTGGTAAATGGAGATTAGACTGAAACAATAGGGTAGCATTTATGACATGTTTGATGAGTCCTGGGAAAATTACAATTTTTGTAGGAGTCAAGGGTATGCAGTATTTTTTAAAAGTGATTTCTCTGAAATCTTGCCATTTGCAACGATGTGGATGGAACTAGAGGATATTAGGTGGAGTGAGAGAAGTCAATCAGAGCAAGACAGTTATCATGTGATTTCGTGATACAAGGAATTTGAGAGGCAGGGTGGGGACTTGGGGGTAGGGAAGGAAAAAATGAAACAAGATGGGATCGGGAGGGAGACAAACCATAATATACTCTTAATCTTACAAAGCAAAC